TGCACACAAATAGTCCCTTAATTCAATCACAACCAGAGTTCTACAAATCCAAATGACTTGCAAGAGGACATTCTGGAAAGCTTATGAAATTCTCTACAATTCATTTGTAAACATCAAAGCATGATTCTTAAGTTAACCAAATCAAATTCCAGTAAACCTAGAATCTGTCCCGCAATGACAGGGTTACTAACTTAATTATTTAATGATGATGCAAAAGCCTAATTTGACCAAACCAAATTTACCAACTTGTTACACATACCAGAGGAACACTAGAAAGTATAATGCCAATTTCTACATAAATCATTTAATATCCTTTTCTAATTTATTTAGTTAATTAGGTGATTAAAGCAACATATAGTAAAACTGTTCATAAAAATCTACAAAAATTACAGTAGCTATCTCATGCTTCACATAGACTACCATAAAAATTTCAAAGCCATTGAGCAAGCAGAACTTGCTGTATCTAAAATAATAGGTGGCATTCCTATTTTTAGCATAATTAGGAAACCCTAATGAAAAGTGTCAAGCAACAGATTTCACATTTTTCCTAGCATCATTCTAGCATAAGAACCTTACTCACCAAATTTCACCTATACTGGATCTATAGAAAAATTATGAAAATTCACACAAGATCCATCCATTGATAAAAGGAAATTCTATAACTCAAAAACTACACAGGCACCAGCTCTAAAATTTTAACCAGAGCTTATACTCAGCAAAAATAGATTACCCACAAAATTTCATAATTTTTGGACCACAGAAACTCAAGATAAAATTCAAACAAGTTTGCATGTATCCAAAAACACATTTCCAAATCCTATTTAATTCATCCAGAATTTCTAAAACATGTGCCCATATAATATTTTTATTAAATACTAGACATTATCATGAACTCAACAAAATTGGAACCATAGCATTTGGATCTACCAACTAGGAAATACATATTTTTGAATCATGCACACAAATCTGTGAAAACAAAATAAACAAAACAAGGCAAGAAATCCTTTCACTGCTGTTGGGCCGGCCCGAGGAACGACGGCCCGCGAACAACGCTGGTGTGGCCCAAGACGCGGCACGGCCCACGCTGGGCTCCCGCCTCAGCCGCGGCGACTAACGGGAGGGGCCCGCGCGTCAGCGAGACAGGCAGGGGAGCGGAGGAAGATGACGGCGCAACTCGCCGCCGGTGGCTCCTCCGGCGAAGGCAACGGTGCCAATGCGTTCGCCTCACCCAAGCGAACATAGGGGAACCATCTATTGCAGCTAAGGACGCAGCTAGAGGGGGTGGCGATGGCCACGGCGGCGCTCGGTCACGGCATGGCCGGCTCCGACGAGGCTGCGACGTCACGGCCCTAGTGGCTCACTCAATGAGCTTCAGCGTCACATACAGAAGCTAGCGCAAGGGAGAGAAGGGGCGATAAGGGGCTCGAGCAGCACGGCCACGTGCGAGCTCGGCTGGCGGCGGTCATGGCGACCCGGTGGAGCCGCGCTCACGGTGAGAGCTACCTGAGGCGAAAATGGAGTGGCGGTGGGGTCGAGGACGTGGAGAGGCTCACGATGGTGCTGTGGTTCAGAGGAATCGGGCAATGGCGCTCGGTTTTGGTGGAATTGGCTCGGCGGTGTCACGGTGTCCTGGTCGCCGTGCGCACGGAGGAAGGGGACGGCAGTGAGAATGGCGAGTGCGGCGGGCAGGTGCGCAGGGTGCTCAAGACGCGGCTGTCCGTGCCAGGGCGTCCACGTTGTGTGGCCTGCGCGCTCAAGCGAGCGGCGACGGGTGGCGCCACGCGGCCAGCAACCTCTGAACCGGTCGGCCACAACGCTACTGAACTGTTTCAGAAAAACGTGATTCAGTGATCCCGACGATGACTAACAAAGCAGGTTTGACGGTGATTAGCTCCTAATCCATGACGATCTAGACTATGCCATAGTTAACAAAGTTGATCATCTATATGTGAACTACAACTCTTTCCATTGGATCTCGAGCTGGTTTGGCTTGGTTAGGGAGATACAAGGTGACAAAGTTGGGTACATGAAACTGCAAAACACTTAAGGACTTAGAAAAATTTCTAAGTCTGAAATCAGCATGAACTTCTCACTTGTGGGCCATGTTTGAGCATGTTCTAGCCATTTTCAAGAGTTGGTCATAAAACAACTTTTGTTCCTAGATAAATTTGCTACAACTTTTGTAAAGAGTGCACAGCCATGCAAAGTCTCTAAGTTGGATTTTTTAAACAGTCAAACAATGACACTCCAAGGGTCAATTCAAGTCAAACTTGCACTTGAGGGCATTTTGGTCATTTTGATCTACATGAACAATGTACCAACAAGTAACCTAAGTATAGTTAAGGTGTAATAGACCATGATCAACCACTTTACAAAATTGTTATACCACTTCTAATGATCACATGTGATAAAGAAAGTAAAACAAGCAATTCATTCATATGTTTCAATTCCATGTTTCACATGTTTCAAGACCTTGTGGTTATTTTATACTTGTCATACTACTACCATGTTGCCATGTTTCAAAGTATGAGAGTTTCATGTTACATTCACATGTTGCACTACTACCACTCTAAGCAATCAAGCATAAAACACAAACAATTTAAAATGTTGCATATGTATGTTTCAATGATAATGGCATGATGACATAGATAATGCACATGTTTATGAAATGAAATGCAATTAGTGGAAGCCAAACACCTAGGGTGTTACAGCAACAAGCCCACACTAGTTAGGAGGACTGGACAATGCTAGGCTAGCAAGCCCATCCACACTACATCACACGCCAACAAGAAGGACATCACATCCAAATGCTTGTTACCAATCATTGGGAATTGGGTAGAGAAGGCTAAAACAAGGTAGGACGAGAAATCATCAAACGTATCGTCATAATGTGAAGTTTTGCCTAACCATGTTTTATGTATTAAATTGATTTAAGGATAGACACCATCACTTATTTTCCATGCGCATGCATGTAATACATTGTGCCACGCATTTGTCCCTTGTAGAACATATTACATTTTGCTAACAAAAATGCAGTTTCGCTATCTTGAATCGACAAATTGATGAATCAGCGAACAAGCTAGTGGCGGATGCCAATGGTGGTGGATGGTTTTGGGACACAACAACAGGAGGAGACCACACCAACAACGTCGCATACCCCAACAGCATTCAACCCCAAGACGGCGCACGTCGCCCCACACGACTGTTCGTTGCAGTTGTTAGATTTGGAGCACTGCTCTGCTCCTCACAGGGCACGACTGCCTTGGCTTGCTGGAACGGCCGAGGCAAGGAGAGCCATCAGCAGCGGAACAATGACAATTGCGAGAGTCTTCTTGGAACACGCCATGATGCTCTAGGCTAGGCTTCCGAAAGTAGAGGCTACTTGGTCCCTTGAGGATGCTCCTTTGCTTTGTGGTTGTTCACTGATTGAGAATTGAGTGCCCCTATGCTTGAGGGTCTTTTCTTATATAGGCTTGAGCCACTACCAAATTAACCTTGAGCAATCAATTTTTGTCATTTTTTCCTTAAAAAATATCATATCTTGAGATTTTTACTCGTAGCACCAATATCCTCTAATATATTTTAGCCACTCAATGTTTACACCGATGGTAGCTATTAAAATCATATATTTACAATTTCTCATCTTACTTCATAGGTAAGCATATGCTGCCTAATAATGTCATATCTATTTTGATCCCTGAAAATCAAAATTTTAATGATATAGATTCACTCCATACCAATCTACCATGCATAGGCACTAATTGGCTGCTAATACACCATATCAATTTTGATTACTACTAATATTATATTGATCATAATTAACAACAATTCAACATGATTTGAGGGTCGGGTTGGATCCAACCAGATAGTAGTTATTAGCTGCTAAAAATTAGTTGTGGTGGATCCAATAGACCTGGCTATTATGTTAGCTAACTATTAGATGGACACCAAGCCCACAACTATCTTGTTACCTAAGCACACCAAACTAATAGCAGCTAATTATTGGTCAGTTGAGTAAAATTCCCTCCCTCCAGATCTTGGAGGTGGTTGAGGAGTTTTTACCTCAGATGAAGTTGTAGCAGGAATAAAATCAATTTTGCTGCCTTTAATTTTCTTGAAAGGTTCTAGCCGATCCAATGTAAAGCACAATAGAGCATACTATAGATTAGTAACAACTCCGGCCTATGCCCTCTTCTCTAGCATCTTGCAAATCTCATTAGGAAGTTAATAGGCCAAAGGCTTCATGATGTACACGGGAGTGCTTGGATCAGTTGGACCATTTTGCATACCATCGGCCATAGTAGGAGATATGTTGGCTTCCTTCCCCAGCAAAGTTGATAAAAGGTGTGTTGATGCTAATTCGGTCACACACTAGCATGGGCTTGATCGTCTGGCTGCACATGTCCTAGATACACAACGCATATAGATCTAAATGGCGAGGCTGACTGGCTTTACGGAGATGCCGATTCAACGCTAGTTCTTTGCCAAAGAGACCCACGAAGCCCTCAGGGGATGATCCATCAGGAAATTGAACAACAGGGCTGCTGTCAAAATCGTCAATGCCACCTTTGATGTCGTCCGATCTCGTGAGAGAGATGCGCTGACATCAAGGGGACGGAGAGGTTTAGGTACGAGAAAAGTCAAAAGTTTAATACATTATTTTTGTCGATTGGATGGATGGATCTCTCAATAGCCCGTGATACCCTCAGTAGGAAACATATGCTACACATAGTTTTCTCGTTTCCTAGTAGATCATTGGAGGAGTTTGCAACAAGAAAACCTTGAGTTGTCATCGGGATATCCTACGGAATTGTATGTTCTAGAGGCTATGACGAACTGTGAGGCATTGGTCTCGTCATCGTTGTTAGAGAAATGATCAATAGCTACATCTATATGAGTCCCAACTATCGCATTGTCACCCCAGCGCCCTCTGTAGGAGATGCATCTCCTTATATCACAATTTCAAGCACCGTAGCTATCACGGAGGTGACATTTGTGCCCTATCTAGCAGTACTGGCAGTGCCAAAAGTAGCAACAAGCCCACACTGGTTAGGAGGACTGGACCATGCTAGGCTAGCAAGCCCATCCACACTGCATCACACGCCAACAAGAAGGTCATCACATCCAAATGCTTGTTACCAATCATTGGGAATTGGGTAGAGAAGGCTAAAACAAGGCAGGACGAGAAATCATCAAACGTATCGTCATAATGTGAAGTTTTGCGTGACCATGTTTTATGTATTAAATTGATTTAAGGATAGACACCATCACTTATTTTCCATGCGCATGCATGTAATACATTGTGCCACGCATTTGTCCCTTGTAGAACATATTACATTTTGCTAACAAAAATGCAGTTTCGCTATCTTGAATCGACAAATTGATGAATCAGCGAACAAGCTAGTGGCGGATGCCAATGGTGGTGGATGGTTTTGGGACACAACAACAGGAGGAGACCACACCAACAACGTCGCATACCCCAACAGCATTCAACCCCAAGACGGCGCACGTCGCCCCACACGACTGTTCGTTGCAGTTGTTAGATTTGGAGCACTGCTCTGCTCCTCACAGGGCACGACTGCCTTGGCTTGCTGGAACGGCCGAGGCAAGGAGAGCCATCAGCAGCGGAACAATGACAATTGCGAGAGTCTTCTTGGAACACGCCATGATGCTCTAGGCTAGGCTTCCGAAAGTAGAGGCTACTTGGTCCCTTGATGATGCTCCTATGCGTTGTGGTTGTTCGCTGATTGAGACTTGAGTGCGCCTATGCTTGTGGGTCTTTTCTTATATAGGCTTCAGCCACTACCAAATTATCCTTGAGCAATCAATTTTTGTCATTTTTCCTTAAAAATACCATATCTTGAAATTTTTACTCGTAGCACCAATATCCTCTAATATATTTTACCCACTCAATGTTCACACCGATGGTAGCTATTAAAATCATATATTTACAATTTCTCATCTTACTTCATAGGTAAGCATATGCTGCCTAATAATGTCATATCTATTTTGATCCCTGAAAATCAAAATTTTAATGATATAGATTCACTCCATACCAATCTACCATGCATAGGCACTAATTGGCTGCTAATACACCATATCAATTTTGATTACTACTAATATTATATTGATCATAATTAACAACAATTCAACATGATTTGAGGGTCGGGTTGGATCCAACCAGATAGTAGTTATTAGCTGCTAAAAATTAGTTGTGGTGGATCCAATAGACCTGGCTATTATGTTAGCTAACTATTAGATGGACACCAAGCCAACAACTATCTTGTTACCTAAGCACACCAAACTAATAGCAGCTAATTATTGGTCAGTTGGGTAAAATTCCCTCCCTCCAGAACTTGGAGGTGGTTGAGGAGTTTTTACCTCAGATGAAGTTGTAGCAGGAATAAAATCAATTTTGCTGCCTTTAATTTTCTTGAAAGGTTCTAGCCGATCCAATGTAAAGCACAATAGAGCATACTATAGATTAGTAACAACTCCGGCCTATGCCCTCTTCTCTAGCATCTTGCAAATCTCATTAGGAAGTTAATAGGCCAAAGGCTTCATGATGTACACGGGAGTGCTTGGATCAGTCGGACCATTTTGCATACCATCGGCCATAGTAGGAGATATGTTGGCTTCCTTCCCCAGCAAAGTTGATAAAAGGTGTGTTGATGCGAATTCCGGTCACACACTAGCATGGGCTTGATCGTCTGGGCTGCACATGTCCTAGATACACAACGCATATAGATCTAAATGGCGAGGCTGACTGGCTTTACGGAGATGCCGATTCAACGCTAGTTCTTTGCCAAAGAGACCCACGAAGCCCTCAGGGGATGATCCATCAGGAAATTGAACAACAGGGCTGCTGTAAAATCGTCAATGCCACCTTTGATGTCGTCAGATCTCGTAGAGAGATGCGCTGGACATCAAGGGGACTGGGAGAGGTTTAGGTACAGAAAAGTCAAAAAGTTTAATACATTATTTTTGTCGATTGGATGGATGGATCTCTCAATAGCCCGTGATACCCTCAGTAGGAAACATATGCTACACATAGTTTTCTCGTTTCCTAGTAGATCATTGGAGGAGTTTGCAACAAGAAAACCTTGAGTTGTCATCGGGATATCCTACGGAATTGTATGTTCTAGAGGCTATGACGAACTGTGAGGCATTGGTCTCGTCATCGTTGTTAGAGAAATGATCAATAGCTACATCTATATGAGTCCCAACTATCGCATTGTCACCCCAGCGCCCTCTGTAGGAGATGCATCTCCTTATATCACAATTTCAAGCACCGTAGCTATCACGGAGGTGACATTTGTGCCCTATCTAGCAGTACTGGCAGTGCCAAAAGTAGCAACAAGCCCACACTGGTTAGGAGGACTGGACCATGCTAGGCTAGCAAGCCCATCCACACTGCATCACACGCCAACAAGAAGGTCATCACATCCAAATGCTTGTTACCAATCATTGGGAATTGGGTAGAGAAGGCTAAAACAAGGCAGGACGAGAAATCATCAAACGTATCATCATAATGTGAAGTTTTGCGTGACCATGTTTTATGTATTAAATTGATTTAAGGATAGACACCATCACTTATTTGCCATGCGCATGCATGTAATACATTGTGCCACACATTTGTCCCTTGTAGAACATATTACATTTTGCTAACAAAAATGCAGTTTCTCTATCTTGAATCGACAAATTGATGAATCAGCGAACAAGCTAGTGGCGGATGCCGATGGAGGTGGATGGTTTTGAGACGCAACAACAGGAGGAGACCCCACCAACAATGTTGCATACCCCAACAGCATTCAACCCCAAGACGGCGCACGTCGCCCCACACGACTGTTCGTTGCAGTTGTCAGATTTGGAGCACTGCTCTGCTCCTAACAGGGCACGACTACCTTGGCTTGCTGGAACGGCCGAGGAAAGGAGAGCCATCAACAGCGGAACAACGACAATTGCGAGGGTCTTCTTGGAACACACCATGATGCTCTAGGCTAGGCTTCCGAAAGTAGAGGCTACTTGGTCCCTTGATGATGCTCCTATGCGTTGTGGTTGTTCGCTGATTGAGACTTGAGTGCGCCTATGCTTGTGGGTCTTTTCTTATATAGGCTTCAGCCACTACCAAATTATCCTTGAGCAATCAATTTTTGTCATTTTTCCTTAAAAATACCATATCTTGAAATTTTTACTCGTAGCACCAATATCCTCTAATATATTTTACCCACTCAATGTTCACACCGATGGTAGCTATTAAAATCACATATTTACAATTTCTCATCTTACATCATAAGTAAGCATATGCTGCCTAAAAATGTCACATCTATTTTGATCCCTAAAAATCAAATTTTTAATGATATAGATTCACTCCATACCAATCTACCATTCATAGGCACTTATTGGCTGCTAATACACCATATCAATGTTGATTACTGCTAATATTATATTGATCATAATTAATAGCACTTTAACATGATTTGAGGGTCGGGTTGGATCCAACCAGATAGTAGTTATTAGCTGCTAAAAATTAGTTGTGGTGGATCCAATAGACCTGGCTATTATGTTAGCTAACTATTAGATGGACACCAAGCCAACAACTATCTTGTTACCTAAGCACACCAAACTAATAGCAGCTAATTATTGGTCAGTTGGGTAAAATTCCCTCCCTCCAGAACTTGGAGGTGGTTGAGGAGTTTTTACCTCAGATGAAGTTGTAGCAGGAATAAAATCAATTTTGCTGCCTTTAATTTTCTTGAAAGGTTCTAGCCGATCCAATGTAAAGCACAATAGAGCATACTATAGATTAGTAACAACTCCGGCCTATGCCCTCTTCTCTAGCATCTTGCAAATCTCATTAGGAAGTTAATAGGCCAAAGGCTTCATGATGTACACGGGAGTGCTTGGATCAGTCGGACCATTTTGCATACCATCGGCCATAGTAGGAGATATGTTGGCTTCCTTCCCCAGCAAAGTTGATAAAAGGTGTGTTGATGCGAATTCCGGTCACACACTAGCATGGGCTTGATCGTCTGGGCTGCACATGTCCTAGATACACAACGCATATAGATCTAAATGGCGAGGCTGACTGGCTTTACGGAGATGCCGATTCAACGCTAGTTCTTTGCCAAAGAGACCCACGAAGCCCTCAGGGGATGATCCATCAGGAAATTGAACAACAGGGCTGCTGTAAAATCGTCAATGCCACCTTTGATGTCGTCAGATCTCGTAGAGAGATGCGCTGGACATCAAGGGGACTGGGAGAGGTTTAGGTACAAAAAAGTCAAAAAGTTTAATACATTATTTTTGTCGATTGGATGGATGGATCTCTCAATAGCCCGTGATACCCTCAGTAGGAAACATATGCTACACATAGTTTTCTCGTTTCCTAGTAGATCATTGGAGGAGTTTGCAACAAGAAAACCTTGAGTTGTCATCGGGATATCCTACGGAATTGTATGTTCTAGAGGCTATGACGAACTGTGAGGCATTGGTCTCGTCATCGTTGTTAGAGAAATGATCAATAGCTACATCTATATGAGTCCCAACTATTGCATTATCACCCCAGCGCCCTCTGTAGGAGATGCATCTCCTTATATCACAATTTCAAGCACCGTAGCTATCACGGAGGTGACATTTGTGCCCTATCTAGCAGTACTGGCAGTGCCAAAAGTAGCAACAAGCCCACACTGGTTAGGAGGACTGGACCATGCTAGGCTAGCAAGCCCATCCACACTGCATCACACGCCAACAAGAAGGTCATCACATCCAAATGCTTGTTACCAATCATTGGGAATTGGGTAGAGAAGGCTAAAACAAGGCAGGACGAAAATCATCAAACGTATCATCATAATGTGAAGTTTTATGCGTGACCATGTTTTATGTATTAAATTGATTTAAGGATAGACACCATCACTTATTTGCCATGCGCATGCATGTAATACATTGTGCCACACATTTGTCCCTTGTAGAACATATTACATTTTGCTAACAAAATGCAGTTTCTCTATCTTGAATCGACAAATTGATGAATCAAACAAGCTAGTGGCGGATGCCGATGGAGGTGGATGGTTTTGAGACGCAACAACAGGAGGAGACCCCACCAACAATGTTGCATACCCCAACAACATTCAACCCCAAGACGGCGCGACGTCGCCCCGGCCACGACCGTTCGCGGCTTGTCGATTTGGAGCACCGCTTCTCTTCTCCCTAACAGGCACGACTACCTTGGCTTGCTTGGAACGGCCGAGAAAAGGAGAGCCATCAAGAAATGAACAACGACAATTGCGAGGGTCTTCTTGGAACACACCATGATGCTCTAGGCTAGGCTTCCAAAGTAGAGGCTACTTGGTCCCTTGATGATGCTCCTATGCGTTGTGGTTGTTCGCTGATTGAGACTTGAGTGCGCCTATGCTTGTGGGTCTTTTCTTATATAGGCTTCAGCCACTACCAAATTATCCTTGAGCAATCAATTTTGTCATTTTTCCTTAAAAATACCATATCTTGAAATTTTTACTCGTAGCACCAATATCCTCTAATATATTTTACCCACTCAATGTTCACACCGATGGTAGCTATTAAAATCACATATTTACAATTTCTCATCTTACATCATAAGTAAGCATATGCTGCCTAAAATGTCACATCTATTTTGATCCCTAAAAATC